AAACCAAAAATCTATGAAATACAACAATTAGAAAAAATAAGCAAAATCTAGTGTGATCGTCTGACGCTATCTCCATGACAGCACCTCTTGATAGGAGTTCAGTTAACAGTTTTCAGTATTTTTCTTGCTCTTAAAAGGTTTCTTATCTCTTATTATAGACGTTTGCCTCTTACACTTAATGTTCCCATTTTTAGAAAGGTACTAGCTCCCTTTCATCTTTACCTCTGCTGAAGTCCTGCGGTTTGTGTTTTCTGCTGGGGAGAGAGACTTCAGGAACATGAATGGTTTTATTTAACAGTGGTGGAGCTCAATAATGCTATTTTGTATCGTGTATCAACATTAAGATCTTTTTGTGTTTTTTTGAGGTTATCAGGATTAATTTTATTCGATAATGAGTGGAAGCAACATTTTAGGTGGATTGGGAGGCCGGTCATGAATATAAGCCACGACAGCCCAGCCAAGAAGTCCCATCATTCATGGTCTTCTAGACACTGATGTCGAGACATCCCCAGTGGACCAGCTCCTAGGTTCTGGATTGCTGAGGATTTTAAGCTCTAATTGGCAACTCCTTATCTTCTTCCCAGCTGGACAGTGGTTTCAGATCCCTAGCTTGATCGTGTTCCTCCTCGATCAGATCATCATTAGACTCTGGCATCCCTGGAATTGTTTATCTTGGAGAGATTTGTTTAAGATGGACTGCCATCTTAATTACAGACATGATGATAGAAATATGGATTGCACATTCTTGACTCCCCGCATCAGCACTGCCCCTGCTCCCACCTGTTAACCCCTGACAGCGCCACAACAGACTTGTTTAATGCAAGCAAGGGGGCAGGAACTCTCCAAGGGACCAATGTAGCAATGTTGTTCTGATCCACAGACAACGAGATGGATAGAAGGGAGACTGTAGCTTTATTATGTCAGTGGCACCTGTTTCTGTGAGATAGCCTGATGTGGAAATGACAAATACTGTACATTCTTTCGTCATTCATTACGCAGTACTTATGTTATGCATCTACACTAATGTGAAAGTCCTTAAAATGCAATATACCATAAGCCTCTGTTGCTTTAAGATATGGTAGGGTTATTTGAAAGTAAACTGAAGTGTACACAGTATCCATCGACAAACTTACCCTGCTTAGAATGGACTCAGAATGGACTAAGTCACAAGTTATTTATATCCTTTAGAGGTGCAGAGACCAGAGACTCCTTGGTTATTGTCATCCGCAGTGCTGCTTGTCAGTCATTTGGTTCGTGCCTGATGTCAGAGATAAGTCTGCCACGTGGCTGGGTTCAAGACCAAATGCATCAATGCTGCTGAAACCCCTCTTGTGGTAATTTAGAGCTGCTCATGCTCTCATTCTTGTGGTAACACCCTGGAAACACTAGGGGAGTTGCACATCAAAATGTCATTTCTGTGGTGGAGCTGTGGAGATGCCACAGTATTTCTTTTGAAACATTTTGTTTTTGTGGTCACACTGTTGTGACACTTTGGTCATTATTGTAAAGCTTTTAGCTGCCATACAAGACTGAATTGAAAATAACTGCAGCAAATAAATTTCTAACAGCTTTTTTGTAGCATTTTTAAGAGGTTGTATAATGTCCCATTACAACACCATTGACTATTGCCCTCTGTTATTCGGTGACACTGTTCTCCAATGATATAGAACATACTACTACACATTTTATAACACTTGTATGTAGTGCAGATCCCATATGTATTAAAAGAGTGGTGTCCGCAAAAATGCTGTAGTGGATGGCTGTGGTTAAGTAAAGCAGAATTTCTCCTGCAATCAGAAGCAATTCAATTCTCTCGTAATTTGCTGTGTAGTTCTAGTAAGACTGCCATGGTGCTGCTTTTAATTCTGCCTTGGAAGCTGAATTTTCCCTGTTTAACTCAATTGAAGGTGGAGTACTAATGAGAGTTAGTGCAAAGGAAAATGTTCAGAAACCACTGGAATTATTTTAGTGATACATACTGTAGGTCATAGATGAGTAATGTCTTAAACTTATTAATTTATTTTGTTGTTACTTTTCCAGAACTCTTAAAAAGTCAGTAATCATTGTTCCATACATATGCTTAATTTTTTCTGCTTTTCCCCGCTGGGAATTTGTTCATCAAGAGCCTTCATGGTTAAGACCAGTGATCTCATCATGGCAAAGTTTCCTTGTCAGAAAAATATACTGTATATGAAAGAAACACGCCTAAAATCAGTAGTATAAGAAGTTTTACATTGTACACAATATGGCTCAACAGATAACATTCAGAGTAAAGGATGAAGTGGAGTTTTGTTTGAAATGCGTCTCTTTTACTTCATTAAGATACTGTCCTTATGTCATTACAGACCTTCCCCCTGCTTCAATTTAAATGTGTTCCTGCAGACTGTTTTCTGATGCAAAGTTTCTCATTTCTCATAGTGACATTCTGTCATTAGAAGTATCTGTAGTGCTTCATTAAAACTGAAATGAAACCCTTATAGTTTCTGGATTATACAGTATAGTGTCCTATATAAGTAATATATAATCCTTAAAGTGGAGCCTTTCTCTCCTAGAGTATGTTCACTTGTGTTCAACATTGTAATAAGACAGAAAAAAAGACATATATACGAACTATATGAAAGTTTAGCTTTAGACATTATAGCACTGTATTTCTGCACTTTTGCCATGGGTTAGCCATTTGTTTCCATTGGTTTTTACATGCCTTAGCTATACTACAACAGACCATTACAACACATCCACCAACAGGATCGTTGTCTGTCTAGGGTATACAGTGAAGCTGGCACTGTTTAAAGGCGCTTTGTGTGTGTCCGTACTGACTCTGCAGCTTGTCTGTAGGGTGTGCTAACACACTTAGCCCCTCAGGCTCAGTTTCCACCACAGTTGCTGCTGCCCCTCCATCTGTCAGGATGCCAGAGGGCTGACATCAGTGCCTGAGGAGGGCAGCCTAGGCCGGTGCGAAGACTAGTGGGCTTCAGGTTGACATCACCCCTGGCTCTGGGGCCAGGCAGGGCAGGGCACTCTCCCCTTCGCAAATATCATCGCCTCGCCAAGCTTGTGGTCACAACGGCCTTAGCATGTAACGTTAAATATAGCACGAAGCGTTCAGAAGGATTTTCTTATAGAATTACACATACAGCATCTGCCTGTCCATTTAATAGTTTTTTCCCCGATTACAGAGAGTCATTTTCCTCTCTCTCTTTGTAAGCCTGCCTTTCTGGTTTGCTCTCTTAATGCCTTTTTTTAAACACCCTGGCTGTGAAATGACATTGTCACTTCTACCTATATTTTGCCGTACGTATAAGTATATAATGTAATAGAAATATAGATATTATATAATTTCGTTCTGTTATGTGTTGTTCTTTTTGTCTGCCTCCTATCCTAAAAGTTAACATATTCTATTGGTATCGCTCAAGTAGATGTTTAGTCTGCTCGACCGTGTGCTTCTGGGTGGCACTGAAGGGGGCTGTTTCACAGAGAACATTACAACCATTTGTCTTCACCAATATACTCATTTAGATTTTAGTAGTGTCTTAAGGGCAAACACCCTCAGATAATATTACCCTCCTATCAGCTCAATCAGATTAGCTAGGATTAGTCAAATAGTGAATGTTTTTTACTTGCAAGAGGCGGGTGGAGGGGACAGGAATTGGAGAGTGAATCATCAAACATGTACTGTACCTGCTTAAGGAAGGTTATCCCTAGTTCTTCCTAACCTATGGGATAAGTTAAGAAGGCTGAAAAGTTGTGTTGCTCTGTTTATGTCAGTCTTTTGCTCAGCTGTACCATTCAACAAAGGGACGCAAGGGAGAGAAAGGCTCTCTTGACATAAGATTCTTCTTTCTCATTCAGACACACAGATCCTGCTGCAGAAATGCCTACTGTATATGATTCAGAATCAACTGTAATAATTGAATACACAGTGGCCTGCAGAATGCCCCAAAAAGTCTTATTGCCTTACATTGTGTATTGCAAGACATTACAAGAAAGCAAATTTTGTTACGTTAGTTCCTTTCAATTAATTAAATTAAATGTGAGTTTTGAACCTTTAGGTGGAATTGGAAACTTGTGACCTTGTGATACAGCGTTGAGCTGCACGCAAGGACAAAAAGATGCCGATAGGAACTTCTCTTTGAGCTGCCCATAAACAGCAGCAGCATGCTGTGTTTTACTGTCCACGTGCACCTCCACTTACACACAAAGCTCAGTTGTCTGAGGGAAGGCGCTAGAGAGGGCAAACATGGGGAAGAACTGATGAATAGCTGAAAGCTTTATGGTGCTCTCTGCCCCCTTCCCACACAGTACCTTGATAAACTGAAAGCGGAAGACTTATTTTATCCAAGGGAGGTATCCCCAGGGGAGAGTGCTGCAGTGAGGATAAATCACCGCTGACTAAAAGCTTCCTATTCGGCCCGTTTTCCTTCGAAATAAGGCATGAAGGAGCCACGAGAGAAGCTCCCTGCCTCCTTTTCTAGTCAGTCCTTTTTCCTCAGCAGGAAGGCAACACTGAATTATTACCCTCCAAAATAAATTACCCCCAGCTTGGCTTCTGCTGGAATGGAGAGGTTTAAAATTATAATTTACAGTTATCAGCACCATTCGAGTGATCTGCTTCTGTGCGAGTCAGACATGGGATCCGGAAGAAGCAGGATTCCTCATCGCCAAGTCATCTCCAGCCTGGGTGTTAAATCATCATTACGATGGAGGGATACTTTGTCTAAAAAAGAGGAAGGCACAAGGAATCCACAATCGAATCCTTCCCTCTGCCTCCTTTAAATGTGCCGTAACTACAGTCAAAGATTTCATCAGTTTCCAGCCACCATCATAACATCCTGAAAATACCACATCGTACAATGCAGCTACAGGTATCCAAGCTGGTAGCCACGTCAAAGTTATGCATTTGCAACTATTCTTATTCCTCAGGCTTGTAAACAAACTGTTATTTGTGAAATCCCCCCCCCATCCCTAACCAATACAATGCGATCTGTCTTTTCTCTCTGCAGACACTTTCCAGTCTCTGATATCCTTCACCAGGAACCACACCAGCTCTCTGTTCGACAGTGCCTATAAGGCCCTGGCGCGAGAAGCCCGAGCCCACGTGACGGAGCTCTTCACCGACCTCGCGCACTACATCCTGGGTGCCAACAGCACCGTGGAGTCTGCGGTGCAGCGTTTCTACGACAACCTCTTCCCCCTTGTCTACAACCGCCTGATCAACCCGGGCATAACGGAGCTGAGCCCCCAGCGCAGCGAGTGCTTGCGGATGACCAGGCAGGACGTCAACCCCTTCGGGCCGCACCCTCACGCGCTGGCCCAGGACCTGGCGCGCTCCCTGAGGGCCGGGCACGCCTTCAGCCGGGCTCTGAGCATGGGGGCCGAGGTCATGAACAAGACGGAGAACATGACGCTGACCCGGGAGTGCGGGCGGGCGCTGGTGCGCATGCAGTACTGCTCCCACTGCCAGGGGCTCACCCTCATCAAGCCCTGCGCGGGCTACTGCCTCAATGTGATGCGGGGCTGCCTTGCCAGTCTCTCCGAGTTAGATCAGCCCTGGCGCAGCTACATCGCCACCCTGGAGGACCTCACCAATGCCATGGCCGGCGCGCATGACCTGGAGTTGTCATTGCTGGGCATTCGCAACCAGATCAATGATGCCATTCTCTACACACAACTCCACGGGCCGCGCCTCACCGCCATTGTAAGTGCCCTCTTCGCCCTGCCAAACCCACTGTCTGTGCGTGTTTGTGTTGTATGATGGACGTGTGTACTAGATAGGCCAGTGGACAGCTTTCCAGGGTTTACATGCATGCAGAACCATTTGAGTAAAACAAAATAGAATAATAATAAGAATTGCTTATACTTATATAGAGCTTTTCTAGAAACTCCACTCAAAGCACTTTACAGGTCATGTGGATTCCCACCACCACCAGTGTGTAGTCCCCACCTGGATGATGCAACAGCAGCCATGGTACACTCCCCACACATCAGCTATCAGTGGGGAGAAGAACAGAGTGAGGAGCCAGTTCATAGATGGGGATTATTAGGAGGCCATGATTGGTAAAGGCCAATGGGAAATTTGGCCTGGATACCAGGGTAACACCCCTGCTCTTTTCAAAACACACCCTGGGATTGTTTATGACCACAGAGAGTCAGGACCTCGGTTTTATGTCTTATCCAAATGATGGTGCCTTTTTACAGTATAGTGTCCCTATATATATAGCAGTATAGACCGCAGGGTGAGCGCCCTCAGCAGGCCCCAACAACACCTCTTCCAGTTAGTTTTTCCCAGGAGGTCTCCCATCCAAGTACTGACCAGGCTCACACCTGCCTAGCTTCAGTGGGTTGCCAGTTGTGAGTTGCAGGGTGATATGGCTTCTGGCAATCCTTGCAGAATTCCAAGTGTTATAAGAATAATTCACGTTACTGTATGTCATTAGATCATTTCAGCTGCTGTGAATGGGTAGGTATTTTATGTTTTAAATTTTATGTTCACCTGTATTTCCCATTTTGATTTTTTAAAGTCATTGTATTGCCATTAATAATACATATAGTTGAAATTCAGGTACTGTACACACTGGCTGCTAATCAAAACTGCACATTGTATGAGATGCCTGAGTGCACTAACATAATAAAAATAAAGCACAGCAGGAATAAAGCTCTCAGAGAGCCCAGTGGTTATAATGAGCAATGAGCACCTCCTCTCCCTTAATCACAATTTAAAAGTGTCAACTGAAAAGTGACAGGACCCACTCAATACCTGCATAGTTGTGAGTTGAAAGCTCAGATAAACACTGTTTTAGAAAATGAGCAAAAATGATTGAAAACGAATCCCAGGAACAGAAATAACTTGCTTGGATTGCTTGGTAGCCAAGTGAAGACTTTCAATGTGATGTCTTAGGAGATGTAAGTTAAGCTATGATGTGAGCTGGCCTGTTGAGTGCTTATTTTAAATGTTCATGAATACTTAAATTTCACTTTTTGGCTCTAATAAGGAATATCAAAACATTGTCTAAGACTTCCATTCCATCTCTGTGCCTCATGCCGGCCACCGAAAATGGTCCTCTTTGTGACTCTTCGCCCTGCCAGCTCTCCAGCACGATTACCTGCCTCAGCAACCATCCCGGCAGCCATCCGCCGGCTGACAGTTAGATGTCGGTGCTGACTATGAAAATGTACTGGCGTGCGGCAGAGAAGGCTGTGCTCTGGTTTTACGGGTTGAGTGAGTGTGTTGGGGTTGACGAGCAGCCTGGCGTGGAAGGCCGGGATGTGTTCGCATGTGGCTGTGGTAGGTTGTTGGTTAATTGGCGAGCTGTGCAATTGCAGCAGAGGGGGTTGCCAGGCTAGGAGGCAGGACTTAGTGAAGTATGCACATCCTGAGCCCAGGCTGGCAGGCTGCTTGGTATTCATAGAGCAGGGCTTGGAGCAGGAGAGAAAGGGACATGTTTGACAAAGCTGAATGGGTTCTAGTCAGCCATACAAATGCAGCCCACTGATGTGGAAAGAAGCAGAAAATTGTTTTTGGCAATTGTGGGACCCCGATGGGGTGCTGCTAGGTTTTCAGAGTGGGTTTGGGATACTCAGAATTTTGAATGCTAACTTTAAAACTTAGTGTTGTCTTTGCCCTTTTCAGTGTTTAATATTGTTTTGTTGTACTTGTAATGAAAACAACAAAACAAGGTACCCAAATGCAGTTTGCTCAGGCATTCGTGCAGCTTTTGTATATGTTTTCCTTAAGCTTCCTATGTATTTTTTAAATCCTCTTTGTAACATGTATAGTCAGCATAAACACACAGACAGAAAAAAACAGACAAAAGGAAGAGACCTATTATGAGACTAATTAATTTGTAAGTTTCGTAAACAAACTTGAGTATGTTTTCCTCATGTCAGTCAAGTTTCATATATACATGTCATCCTGTAACTTACAATTGGCAACCACTGAAGCTAAGCAGGTATGAGCCTGGCCACTGTCTGGATGGGAGACCTCCTGGGAAAGCTAAGGTTGCTGCTGGAAGAGGTGTTAGTGGGGCCAGTAAGGAGCACTCACCCTGTGGTCTGTGTGGGTCCTAATGCCCCAGTAAAGTGATGGGGACACTATACTGTAATGAAGGCACTGTCCTTCGGATGAGAAGCAAAACCAAGGTCCCAACTCTCAGTGGTCATTAAAAATCCCAGTGTATTTCTTGAAAAGAATAATAATAATAATAATAATTGCTTACACTTATATAACGCTTTTCTGGACACTCCACTCAAAGCGCTTTACAGGGAATGGGGACTCCCCTCCACCACCACCAATGTGCAGCATCCACCTGGATGATGCGACGGCAGCCATAGTGCGCCAGAACGCTCACCATACATCAGCTATTAGTGGGGAGGAGAGCAGAGAGTAATGAAGCCAATTCATAGAGAGGGATTATTAGGAGGCCATGATTGGTAAGGGCTAATGAGAAATTTGGACAGGACGCCAGGGCAACACCCCTACTCTTTTTGAGAATCACCCTGGGATTTTTAATGACTACAGAGAGTCAGGACCTCGGTTTTACGTCTCATCCGAAGGACGGCACCCGTTTACAGTATAGTGTCCCCATCACTATACTGGGGCATTAGGACCCACATGGGCCGCAGGGTGAGCGTCCCCTGCTGGCCCCACTAACACCTCTTCCAGCAGCAACCTTAGTTTTTCCCAGGAGGTCTCCCATCCAGGTAATGACCAGGCTCACACCTGCTTAGCTTCAGTGGGTTGCCAGTTGTGAGTTGCAGGGTGATATGACTGAGGTGTTACCCCCAGGGTCTTGGCCAAATCCCCCCCTAGCCTTTACCAATCATGGCCTCCTAATAATCCCCATCTCTGAACTGTCTTCATCACTCTGCTCTCCTCCCCACTGATAGCTGATGTGTGGTTTGAGCATATTGGCGCTCTTTGGCTGCCGTCGCATTATCCAGCTGCACATTGCTGGTGGTGGAGTGGAGTCCCCATTACTTGTAAAGGGCTTTGAGTGAAGTGTCCTAGAAAGCACTATATAAGTTTAAGGATTATTATATTTGGCTAATTGAATGCTGATAGGTTACAATAAGATTGACAATATACATGCTGTTTTCTATTACTTGATCTTAGGGGCTATTTGTAAAGGGTGATACTGTCTAAAGTAGATGACCAAAGAATAGAATGACTAGCTTTACCACAATACACCTACTACTCAATAAGAAAACAAGTTCATAAGGCTGAAGACACCCCAAAAAGCTGAAAACACCAATGAAAAATTTCTAGTTATAATGACACAAAGCTTCTATGACAGCACAGGTCATAAAGCACACGAATGGTGTGAATCCTTGTACCTGGTGTCTGATAATCATTAAAGAAACATATCTCTGGGAAGAAATACTGAATCACTCTCCCATCATACATAAGAAGTCCATGGTCCAAAAGACACCCACAACAACAAGTACTGAACATCAGCTCCTGATTCTGTAACAACGCAGTACTGGATACATGAAGCTGAAAGGCAGGCATTGACAGTTATGTGGAGGGATTAGGTTTTAGCACATTCTTGTTTGTGTCCAAATAGATTGGAGAGGGCTGGTACTGTTAAAAAATAGGTGTTCTTTTACACCTCCGCCATTCCAATGGGGGTGTTTACAGTGTGCAGTCTAGAAGATCGAGTGTTATTCACATGGCATTTATACATGGCTGAGATAGCTCAGGGTCACTTTACCCCCATCCAGAGGCATTTCCAATGGAGAACTGGAGGCTGAGACTCAGGCTCCCTGCACTGTGACACGCACAGGCATCCTGCCTGCCCATATACTTCATCTCCCTGGAAGGAGAGGTTGGCTATAACTGGAATGACATCCACGCTCTTGATCCTGTCTTTAAAGACGTGGCTGGGGAAGTCGTATATCAATAATGTATCGGACAGTCCATGTTTGCACTTTGGATCAAACAGAAAAAATAATTTAGTTATTTGATCTGTACAGGTGACACTCTATTTCATCTCTCACCCCATTTTCCAAAATTCTTGTGGTTCTTGTAATGCAATAAACGTGGGCTTGAGAGTAAGTGACTGAAACCGACAGGAAATGTCAAAGTTGTTGTTTTCTGTCAAATTCAAACTCTGTAATACTCGTTCAAAAGTAATACATTTTGTACATATTACAAGTAATTTGTTTAGTTGTAGTAAAATATTCAGCTTATTTAGTTCAAAAAAATTGTAATAAAAAACTGAGGCTAAGTTTAAAGTTTTTTTTCTGAAAAAAAAACTAGTTTAGAAATAACTGGGAGAAAAAAAAGACTTGTGCTATGACTGAAATCTGAAATGTTTCAATACGAAGATAGTTTACTTTGACTAAGACTGAGAAAATTTAAATGGGAGCAGAATGTACACTTCTAAGGTTTTATGAAAACTTCCAATTGGATTGAGTCAATCTGTTTTTTTTCCTTCAAGAAAAATCCCAGTAACAGTTTTCATTTAGATAATGGAAATTGGAACATAGTGAAGAAAAAAAAATGTTTTGGCAGTTACTTGCTTTGAAACAATGCCTTTCAGATGTTGTGCGGTTTTAAAATAAGGCCAGTATGTGATGGTGTATGTTAAGTGGTACAGACCTAGAAAAGATGCTCAGAATGTGCAAGCCAAACTTCCCAACAGTGAGTTTGCTTTCTCCATCTATATAAGGGCCCAGGTTACTTAATGTGATGTTTTT